AGGGGGTTATATCTGTTCAACAATGCGGCCTACATTCAATCGTGAGTGGGGTTTTTGCTAGGTGAGGTTCTTATCGACTGGTGATGGTTGGGGAGAGGGGGTGGTGGTGGTAGAGGGGGGGGGGGGAGGTTTCGGTTCAGGAGATTGTGAGAGGGCTTTATCTGTTCAACAACGCGGCCTACATTCAATCGTGAGAGGAGATTCAGATAAGCTCGTCTGCTGCTGGTGGGGGTGCGAAGGGCGGTGGAGGGGGGAAAGGAGGGAAGGTTTCGGTCCAAGAAGTCTTGAGAGGGCTATATTCATTCAACAACGCGACCTACATTCAATCGTGAGTGGAGGCGCTTTTCCCCCAATTCTTGTTTCGTTAACCTGTGTGTGTGTGTGTGTGTGCGTGCAGGCATTCAGACACTTCTTGTTGTGCCATTCAGACACTTCTTGTTGTGCCATTCAGACACTTCTTGTTGTGCCATTCAGACACTTCTTGTTGTGCCATTCAGACACTTCTTGTTGTGCCATTCAGACACTTCTTGTTGTGCCATTCAGACACTTCTTGTTGTGGCATTCAGACACTTCTTGTTGTGCCATTCAGACACTTCTTGTTGTGCCATTCAGACACTTCTTGTTGTGCCATTCAGACACTTCTTGTTGTGCCATTCAGACACTTCTTGTTGTGCCATTCAGACACTTCTTGTTGTGCCATTCAGACACTTCTTGTTGTGGCATTCAGACACTTCTTGTTGTGGCATTCAGACACTTCTTGTTGTGCCATTCAGACACTTCTTGTTGTGCCATTCAGACACTTCTTGTTGTGCCATTCAGACACTTCTTGTTGTGCCATTCAGACACTTCTTGTTGTGCCATTCAGACACTTCTTGTTGTGCCATTCAGACACTTCTTGTTGTGCCATTCAGACACTTCTTGTTGTGCCATTCAGACACTTCTTGTTGTGCCATTCAGACACTTCTTGTTGTGCCATTCAGACACTTCTTGTTGTGCCATTCAGACACTTCTTGTTGTGCCATTCAGACACTTCTTGTTGTGCCATTCAGACACTTCTTGTTGTGGCATTCAGACACTTCTTGTTGTGCCATTCAGACACTTCTTGTTGTGCCATTCAGACACTTCTTGTTGTGCCATTCAGACACTTCTTGTTGTGCCATTCAGACACTTCTTGTTGTGCCATTCAGACACTTCTTGTTGTGCCATTCAGACACTTCTTGTTGTGCCATTCAGACACTTCTTGTTGTGGCATTCAGACACTTCTTGTTGTGCCATTCAGACACTTCTTGTTGTGCCATTCAGACACTTCTTGTTGTGGCATTCAGACACTTCTTGTTGTGCCATTCAGACACTTCTTGTTGTGCCATTCAGACACTTCTTGTTGTGCCATTCAGACACTTCTTGTTGTGCCATTCAGACACTTCTTGTTGTGCCATTCAGACACTTCTTGTTGTGCCATTCAGACACTTCTTGTTGTGGCATTCAGACACTTCTTGTTGTGGCATTCAGACACTTCTTGTTGTGCCATTCAGACACTTCTTGTTGTGCCATTCAGACACTTCTTGTTGTGCCATTCAGACACTTCTTGTTGTGGCATTCAGACACTTCTTGTTGTGCCATTCAGACACTTCTTGTTGTGCCATTCAGACACTTCTTGTTGTGGCATTCAGACACTTCTTGTTGTGCCATTCAGACACTTCTTGTTGTGCCATTCAGACACTTCTTGTTGTGCCATTCAGACACTTCTTGTTGTGCCATTCAGACACTTCTTGTTGTGCCATTCAGACACTTCTTGTTGTGCCATTCAGACACTTCTTGTTGTGGCATTCAGACACTTCTTGTTGTGGCATTCAGACACTTCTTGTTGTGCCATTCAGACACTTCTTGTTGTGCCATTCAGACACTTCTTGTTGTGCCATTCAGACACTTCTTGTTGTGCCATTCAGACACTTCTTGTTGTGCCATTCAGACACTTCTTGTTGTGCCATTCAGACACTTCTTGTTGTGCCATTCAGACACTTCTTGTTGTGCCATTCAGACACTTCTTGTTGTGGCATTCAGACACTTCTTGTTGTGCCATTCAGACACTTCTTGTTGTGCCATTCAGACACTTCTTGTTGTGCCATTCAGACACTTCTTGTTGTGCCATTCAGACACTTCTTGTTGTGCCATTCAGACACTTCTTGTTGTGCCATTCAGACACTTCTTGTTGTGCCATTCAGACACTTCTTGTTGTGGCATTCAGACACTTCTTGTTGTGCCATTCAGACACTTCTTGTTGTGCCATTCAGACACTTCTTGTTGTGCCATTCAGACACTTCTTGTTGTGCCATTCAGACACTTCTTGTTGTGCCATTCAGACACTTCTTGTTGTGCCATTCAGACACTTCTTGTTGTGCCATTCAGACACTTCTTGTTGTGCCATTCAGACACTTCTTGTTGTGCCATTCAGACACTTCTTGTTGTGCCATTCAGACACTTCTTGTTGTGCCATTCAGACACTTCTTGTTGTGCCATTCAGACACTTCTTGTTGTGCCATTCAGACACTTCTTGTTGTGCCATTCAGACACTTCTTGTTGTGGCATTCAGACACTTCTTGTTGTGCCATTCAGACACTTCTTGTTGTGCCATTCAGACACTTCTTGTTGTGCCATTCAGACACTTCTTGTTGTGCCATTCAGACACTTCTTGTTGTGCCATTCAGACACTTCTTGTTGTGCCATTCAGACACTTCTTGTTGTGCCATTCAGACACTTCTTGTTGTGGCATTCAGACACTTCTTGTTGTGCCATTCAGACACTTCTTGTTGTGCCATTCAGACACTTCTTGTTGTGGCATTCAGACACTTCTTGTTGTGCCATTCAGACACTTCTTGTTGTGCCATTCAGACACTTCTTGTTGTGCCATTCAGACACTTCTTGTTGTGCCATTCAGACACTTCTTGTTGTGCCATTCAGACACTTCTTGTTGTGCCATTCAGACACTTCTTGTTGTGGCATTCAGACACTTCTTGTTGTGGCATTCAGACACTTCTTGTTGTGCCATTCAGACACTTCTTGTTGTGCCATTCAGACACTTCTTGTTGTGCCATTCAGACACTTCTTGTTGTGGCATTCAGACACTTCTTGTTGTGCCATTCAGACACTTCTTGTTGTGCCATTCAGACACTTCTTGTTGTGGCATTCAGACACTTCTTGTTGTGCCATTCAGACACTTCTTGTTGTGCCATTCAGACACTTCTTGTTGTGCCATTCAGACACTTCTTGTTGTGCCATTCAGACACTTCTTGTTGTGCCATTCAGACACTTCTTGTTGTGCCATTCAGACACTTCTTGTTGTGGCATTCAGACACTTCTTGTTGTGCCATTCAGACACTTCTTGTTGTGCCATTCAGACACTTCTTGTTGTGCCATTCAGACACTTCTTGTTGTGCCATTCAGACACTTCTTGTTGTGCCATTCAGACACTTCTTGTTGTGCCATTCAGACACTTCTTGTTGTGCCATTCAGACACTTCTTGTTGTGCCATTCAGACACTTCTTGTTGTGCCATTCAGACACTTCTTGTTGTGCCATTCAGACACTTCTTGTTGTGCCATTCAGACACTTCTTGTTGTGCCATTCAGACACTTCTTGTTGTGCCATTCAGACACTTCTTGTTGTGCCATTCAGACACTTCTTGTTGTGCCATTCAGACACTTCTTGTTGTGCCATTCAGACACTTCTTGTTGTGCCATTCAGACACTTCTTGTTGTGCCATTCAGACACTTCTTGTTGTGCCATTCAGACACTTCTTGTTGTGCCATTCAGACACTTCTTGTTGTGCCATTCAGACACTTCTTGTTGTGCCATTCAGACACTTCTTGTTGTGCCATTCAGACACTTCTTGTTGTGCCATTCAGACACTTCTTGTTGTGGCATTCAGACACTTCTTGTTGTGGCATTCAGACACTTCTTGTTGTGCCATTCAGACACTTCTTGTTGTGCCATTCAGACACTTCTTGTTGTGCCATTCAGACACTTCTTGTTGTGCCATTCAGACACTTCTTGTTGTGCCATTCAGACACTTCTTGTTGTGCCATTCAGACACTTCTTGTTGTGCCATTCAGACACTTCTTGTTGTGCCATTCAGACACTTCTTGTTGTGCCATTCAGACACTTCTTGTTGTGCCATTCAGACACTTCTTGTTGTGCCATTCAGACACTTCTTGTTGTGCCATTCAGACACTTCTTGTTGTGGCATTCAGACACTTCTTGTTGTGCCATTCAGACACTTCTTGTTGTGCCATTCAGACACTCGGATCGTGCCATGCCCCTCAATCCCTCCCATGCCCGTTTATTTTCGAGGCGCCTCAAAACTAGACTTCAATCGTGAGTGGAGGTGCTTTTCCCCCAATTCTTGTTTCGTTAACCTGTGTGTCATTCAAACTTTCTCATTGTGCCATGCCCCTCAATCCCTCCCATGCCGTTTCAGCGCCCCCCTTCCTCTCCCCACCTCCCCACCCCCTCTCTTCTTGCAATCTTTTCTGTTCCCCGACCTGCGTATGTCAAAGGAGTATCGGCAGCTGGCAGACATTCAGATGAACCGCTTCCTTCCTCCCCTCTATTCATGCCTGGTATTCGTATCTCCCCCACCACTCCCCCTCCTCTCTCATCCCTCCCACTCTTTGCAGCCTGTTCCCTGACCTGCGTATGTCAAAGGAGTATCGCCAGCTGACAGACAGACACTCAGCTTGACTCACCTTTCCCCTCTCCTCCCCCCCCTCGCTTGCAGTCTGTTCCCCGACCTACGTATGTCGAAGGAGTATCGGCAGCTGGCAGACACTCAGCTTGACCCGTTCACATCATCCCTCTAACTCATTCCCCCATTTCCCACCACTTCCCCATTGCCCCCTTCCCCCCCTCCCCCCCTCGCTTGCAGTCTGTTCCCCGACCTACGTATGTCGAAGGAGTATCGGCAGCTGGCAGACACTCAGATGAACCGCTTCCTAGACGTGCTGCTGAAAGATGTGAGTGGTTGGGGTGGGTTTGGGAGGGGTGGGGTGGGGTGTGGGAGAGTTTGGGAGGGTGGAGTGGGATGTGAAGAGGTGGGGTGGGGATGGCAGCTCGCAGACACTCAGATGAGCCGCTTCCTGGATGTGCTGCTGAAAGATGTGAGCGGGATGGGTGGGGTGGGTTTCGGAGGAGTTTGGCAGGATGTGCAAGAGGTGGGGTGGGATATGAAGAGGTGGGGGGGTTTGGGGTGGCAGCTGGTAGACTCTCAGATGATCCGCTTTCTAGACGCGCTGCTGAAAGATGTGAGCGGGATGGGAGTGGGTGGCAGTGGGTGGGATAAGAGAAACGGTTGGGATCGGTTGGAGGGCCGTTGAGTTGACTCAACTGGCAGACACGCAGATGAACCGCTTCCTAGACGTGCCTGCCAGCTGAGCGAGATGAATCGTGCTGCTGAATGATGTGAGCAGGATGGGAGTGGGAAGGGGGGTGGTTATGAGTGGTGTTGCAGGATGTGAACAGGGGTGGGTGGGATGTGAAGTGGTCGGTTGGGAGGAGTGCGGTGGGTTTGGAAGGAGTGCGGATGATATGAGAGGGATGGGAAAAGGAGGGTTGGGAGGGAGTGGGATGGGAGGGAGAGGGATGGAAGGGAAAGATGGGAGGGAGAAGGATGGGAGGGAGAGGGATGGGAGGAAGGGATGGGAGGATTAGGAGGGATGGGAGGAATTAGGATGGGAGGAATATGGATGGGAGGAATAGGGATGGGAGGAATTCGGATGGGAGGAATAGGGATGGGAGGAATTAGGATGGGAGGAATAGGGATGGGAGGAAATACGATGGGGGGAATAGGGGTAGGAGGAATTAGGATGGGAGGAATAGGGATGGGAGGAATTAGGATGGGAGGAATTAGGATGGGAGGAATAGGGATGGGAGGGATTAGGATGGGAGGAATAGGGATGAAAGGAATGAGGATGGGAGGAATAGGGATGGAAGGAATTAGGATGGGAGGAATTAGGATGGGAGGAATAGGGATGGGAGGAATTAGGATGGGAGGAATAGGGATGGGAGGAATAGGGATGGGAGGAATTAGGATGGGAGGAATAGGATAGGGTTGACTTCTCTTTGCAATCTTGCAGGGCTGTTTGTGTTTTGAGTCGACTCAAAAGGGCGGTTTGTCAGGGCTGATACCACTCTCTCTCCCTCTCCCTGATGTCCTTTCCCTCTTCACCCCTTCGCCCCACATCCCCTCCCCATGCACAGATGATGGAGTAAATAGGTGCACCCACCTCGGGCATATCTCCAACCTCTCGCTTACATCCCCCCCTGCAGCGTCATCAAATCTCTCTCTCCCCACATCCCCTCCCCGTGCACAGATGATGGGGTCAATAGGTGCACCCACCACGGGCATTCCTCCTGCCGAGTTCCAGAAAAGGTAGGATGAGAAGATGGGATGAATTGTGATGGGGTGGGATGAAGGTGGGATGGGTTCAGTGGGTTCATGCATAGTCTTTGTCAAAAAAAAAAAAAAAAAAAAAAAAAAAAAAAAAACCTTTCCATTTCTTTTTATCTCTCCCCTGCCAAGGTCGCAGGTGAAAAAAACACCCCTTCTGCGCATGTTAACCCCCCTTTACCCTCCCTTCTCCCCCTTCTACACCCCCCAGACTGGATGCATTCAACGTGGCATTTGAGGAGCTCTGTTTCAACATGCGCCGATTCCACGTGCACGACTCGGTGGCGCGCACTCAGATCCGTGGCGTGTGTCACGAGCGAATCCTCTCCTCCTACAAGGAGTTCCTCATGCCCTTCAGGTAACATGCCCTTCAGGTGACCCAATTCCCCTTCCAGGTAACCTGTCTGTGCTGTTTCCCTCCCCCCTTCAACCCTCCCCTCTCTCCTGTGTCACAAGCGCATCCTCTCCTCCTATAAAGAGTTTCTCATGCCCCTTCAGGTAACCTTCCCTTCAGGTGCGCCCCTCCCCCCTCCCCACACACCTCTCTTCCTCTCTTCCTCTCCCTCGCAACGTGTGTCACGAGCGCATCCTCTCCTCCTATAAGGACTTCCTCATGCCCTTCAGGTAACCCAATTCCCCTTTCAGGTAACCTGTCTGTGCTGTTTCAACACCTTCAACCCTCCCCTCCTTCAACCCTTCCCTCTCTGCTGTGTCACGAGCGCATCCTCTCCTCCTATCAGGACTTCCTCATGCCCTTCAGGTAAGCCCCCTTCAGGTAAGCCCTTCCCCCTTCAGGTAGCGTGTCTCTGTTGTTTCTTCCCTCCCTCCGCGGCGTGTGCCACGAGCGAATCCTCTCCACCTATAAGGACCTCCTCATGCCCTTCAGGTGCTCCTCCCCTCTCTTCCTCTCTTCCTCTCCCCTCTGCTGTGTCACGAGCGCATCCTCTCCTCCTACAAGGACTTCCACATGCCCTTCAGCAGTTCCAAGAGAGTGAAACGCTTGGTATCGTCCTTCCCCTGCATCTCCTGCTGCCAATCCCTTCATTCCAGGGAGGACCTAGTGGGTTTCCCAGAGTATCGCTGGTCTGTCAGCAGTGCCAAGCGAGTCATGCAGAATTTCTTCATATAGGCGCCTCTCTGCCAAGCGCAATATATGTCTACAAGCATACAATTATTTATGTTATGCATCATTTGCTTACATCTAGTTTCTGGTTGGTGTTATCCATTCCTAACAACCGAAATTGCCCATCAAATCTTTACCTACTGGTACCGTATGTTCGACTGGTTTAGCAGCCACTGTAATCAGTTGTAGATTTGCAAATGCAGGAACAGCGTAGCATGTTCAAGGATCACTGGCCAGTCAAAATATTGTTGGTGCTGTTCTGTAGCTCTGCATTAATGGCCTTCAAGTTTAGCTCCTTTTTGGTGTGTGGGAAGGTCAGTTATTCCAGATACACATTTAGTATAGCCTTCTGCTGCTCCGACTACAGTTAGTTTCATTCGCGACACTCAAAAACGGTGCATTTACTATACTTCGCGATACAAGTTCGCTCGACTCGTTATACGGACAATGATTGCAACGCTAATTCGCCGTGCCACTTCAATACATAAACGTTCAGTTTGCGTTTTGCTACAAAGTTGCCCTTCGTGCGATGTGAGTCAATTCGTTCGAAGGGTCACCCCTGCTGGTCGCTCACACGTGGAGGGTGCAGGCGGATGGTCAGACGTCTCGCGCTCCGCGTTTAATGCCTTCCAGCATGCGCCGCGCTTGTTTTCGGATGGCGGGAGCCGTTTTTCGGCCCGCAGCGTCCGCTTCGGCGTCGTTTCCAGCCTGCCGTAGCGACATTCCTAGAGTGTCGGCTGCTAGAGAATCGGCTGTTTGCTTGCATTTCATCCATGAGCAGCAGTACCAGCAACAACAACCGATACAGGCCGGATTCGGTTTCGCAAGCGCAATATCTCAAACGAAACAACGTATGTCGATTTCATTTGATAGAAGTGTTGTTTTGAGTCGTCTCAAACCAACTCTTTTATCAGAACGTATGTCGATTCGATCTGGCCGTCAGCTTTCGCGGCGTTCAATGGACGAAACAGTCGCGACTTTTGTGCCGACTCGAAACTCAATCGACAGCACCGCAGCGGATCGGATTCGCGTTCTGCCTTTTTCGGGTCCTGCATCGCTGGTGGGAGGATCGGCAGGAAGGGAGGCCGGAGCGGAGGGAGGGAGGGAGAGGGGTCAAGGGTTGCGTGAAGGAAGAGAAGAACGAAAAGGAGCAGGAAAAGCAAAGGGATCAGGAGCAGGAGGAGGAGGAGAAGGAGAAGACGTGGTGATTGCGATCGGGGGCAACATCGGGAATCGCGTGGCGAATTTCCACCGAGCTTTGCAGATGTTGCGAGAGGTGCGTTGTGGTTGGGAGGGGTGCAGAGCAACTGCACTTGTGATAAGCAGAGGACAGGATGTGGTGATTGCGATCGGGGGGAGTTTCGGGAATCGCGTGGCGAATTTTCACCGCACGCTGACATTGTTGCGAGAGGTGCGTTGTGGTTGGGAGGGGTTCGTCAGGGTTTGGAGGGGTGCAGAGCACTGCACTTATGTGTGTGAGAGGGAGGGGACAGGATGTGGTGATTTCGATCGTCGAAAACATGGGGAATCGCATGGCGAATTTTCACCGCGTGCTGCAAATGGTGCGTTGCGGATGGCAGGGTGAATGGTATGGTATCGTGTCAGGGGTGCGAGGTGCATGCAAATGCATTGTCCTGTGAGGTTGGATTGTGTACTGATGTATTGTGAGGGGTGTAACCCAGTTTCCTCCCCTTTCCTGCTACCCTCTCTTCCCTTTCTCTCCTCCCTTTTTTCTCTTCGTTTGCTGCAGGCAGGGGTGCGGTTTTACAAACACCGCTGTTTGTGCGAGACACTGCAGGCAGTCATGCCTGCGCCACACAGTTCCCTCCCCTTTTCTCCTCTCCCCTCGCCCCCTTCTCTTTCCCCCCCTTCAATCATTGCAGGCAGGGGTGCAGGTCTACAAGCACGGCTGTCTGTACGAGTCTGCTCCTGCCTATGTCACGGACCAGCCTTTTTTCCTCAACACGGCCATCCAGGTAAGTGAACGTGTGTGCCCTCCATGATAACAGCCGCGCGATAGGGAATCTGCCCCGCCCCTCCCTGCCTATGTCATAGCCACCCACCAGTCCCTCTTCCTCAACTCCGCCATCCAGGCAAGTGAACACGTTCCCTCACTCCCCACTTTTTTCCCCTCTTTCAACAGTTAAGTATCAGGGAGAGTGAGTGTGCTTCATTTCTGTTCCATCTATGCCTTTGCCATCACCAGCCATTTATCTCCAGCTACACATGAACTGGCGGTGGCATATTATCGACTCAGAAGTCGCAGGGAGACTGCATGTGCCCCATTACTGTTCCACCTTCGCCTATGCCACAGGCCAGCCTTCTTTCCTCAACTATTTCGAAGAAAGAAGACTTATCACGTCCTGGTTTTCTACCTTTTTTCCCAGCCCTACAATGCAACCCACCCACTTCACTTAGCTGAAATTCCTATGAAGACCCATGGCTTGCTGCTGCGGTTCGGAACAGTTTCAACTCTGCGGTGGATGCCTATGCCACAGGCCAGCCTTCTTTCCTCAACCTGCTCACTACCCAGCGCTTCACACCCTGGTGACTTACCTCCCTAATCCACTGCAGGCACGCACAACACTCAACCCCCATGCGCTCCTCTCTCTCTCTCTCCTCTCTCTCCTCAACTAAATCAAGGAACCTCAACCCGCTCACTGCCCAGTGCTTCACCCGTCACTTCCAATTCACATCACCCTATTTTTCCCTCCCCCCTCTGCAGGCTCGCACAACCCTTCCTCCCCACGCGCTGCTCTCTCTCCTCAAGTCAATCAAGTCAACCCTCAGGAGGGACCTCAACCCACTCGCCAACCTACCTTCACCCTTGTAACTGACTTAATTCCCTCTCCTTCCCTCTCCTTCTCTCCTCCAAACCAGGCCCGCACGACCCTACCCCCCCACGCGCTGCTCTCTCTGCTCAAGTCAATCGAGTCAACCCTCGGGAGGGACCTCAACCCTCTTACCGCCCAGCGCTTCGGCCCCCGGCCCTTAGATCTCGATTTGATCTGCTACGGACCTAGAACCATCCGGCCAGACGAAACCGCTCCTGCTGCTGCTGGTGCTGCCGGTTCTGCTGCCCCTGCTGCTCCTCCTCCTCCTCCTCCTCCTGTTGCTGCTGGTTCCGCTTTTCCAGCTGCTCCTGCTCCCCCTGCGGCTCCTGCCCCCCCTGCGGCTCCTGCTGCTGCAGCTACCCGCACCCCGTTTGATCTCGAGGTTCCACACCCGCGCGTAGCAGAGAGGCTCTTTGTGCTCGCGCCAGTGATCGATCTATTGGGGTCGGCTCAAGCTGGGGGCGAAGAGGAGACACCCTCTTGGGTGTTTCACCAGGCGTTTGGGAAGGATGGAGTGCTGGGGTAAGTTTATTAATTGAGGCGCCTCCAAACCAGCAGAGACTGAGAGGCTCTTTGTGCTGGCCCCAGTGGCGGACCTGCTGGGGTCGGCTCAAGCTGGGGGCGAAGAGGAGACACCCTCTTGGGTGTTTCACCAGGTGTTTGGCAAGGATGGAGTGCTGGGGTAAGCGTGGTGCGGTGAGGTTTGTTCTGAGGCTCTTGCAGGCTTTTTGTGCTCGCCCCTGTGGCGGACCTGCTGGGCTCTGTTTGGGTGCTCTTCAAGGGCGCTCTTCAAGGGTGCTCTACAAGGCATTTAGGGAGGCTGGGGTGCCCCAAATGCCGCGTGGAACACCCAGGAGGCTGGGTAAGGTGGGTGAGTGTTGCGCAAGGCGTTTCCAAGGTGGGTTGAAATCTCCTCAATGGGTGTGGGATGAAAGACAAGTGTTGGGATTCGAGTGGGGAGACGACCAGGTGCATGCACGCGCCCTCTCTTGATGCTGCAGGGTGTTTTTGAGAATTCTCAAAAACACCCTGTGGGATGAAAGACAAGTGTTGGGATTTCAGTGGGGAGACGACCAGGTGCATGCACGCGCCCTTTCTTGTGAAAGCATGTTGTTGTGGGACGTCTCGAAAAAAGATACTTTCTTGCATTGCCGAGGGGCAAGGGATGAGCAATGCAAGGCTTGGAGTGTAAGGGCTTAGTGGTGCGATGGCTTGGAGCAGCTACCTCCCTCTGAGGCACCTCAAAAGTCTTGTATTACCCGCAGTTTTTCTGGCTTGGAGCAGCTCCCTTCTTTCTCCTCTATGTTCCTTTACGTGTTCCTTGGTGTTTCGTACTATGTTCCATATTATGCTTCATAATGTGTTCGAAACACATTATGTTTTCTTACCCATCCCTCCATCCCTTCCGGTTCTTCGAATTCCAGCCTCTGGAAGAATCTGGGCGGAGAAGCAGCAGTGGGGGGAACGGACCTGAGGAGGGTAGTTCCCCTTTCCCAGCGCCTATTTAGAGGGCAGAGCGAGGGGAGGAAGGAAGAGGGGGAGGGTCCCTTGTGGGCGTGGGAGGGGCAGCAGCGGCCTCTGGTAATGGGTATTCTGAACATCACTCCTGATAGCTTTAGTGATGGGGGGAGATTCACCAGGGATGGGAATGACAGCGGCAGTGGCAGCGACGACAGAGGCAGCAGCAGCAGCAGCAGCAGCAGCAGCAGCAGCAGCAGCAGCAGCGGCAGTAGCAGCAGCAGCAGCAGCAGCAGCAGCAGCAGCAGCAGCAGCAGCAGCAGCAGCAGCAGCAGCGGCAGTAGCAGCAGCAGCAGCAGCGGCGGCGGCAGTGGCAGCAGCAGCAAAAACAACAACAGCAGTGTATGTGTGAATGTCGAGGCAGCAGCAAGAGAAGCAGAGAGAATGGTGGCGGAAGGAGCAGATATTATTGACATTGGAGGGCAGTCCACCAGGCCTGGAGCCATACGCTTGTCGACCAATGAGGAGCTGACACGTGTCATCCCTGTCATCCAGGCCGTCCGATCGCGATCGCCAGATG